AATGTTTCACAGAGCTTAGCACAAACTAACTCTTTTATCACTTGCAAGTCATAATTATTTTTTTTGCAAGCTTCTTGAATGTTACCAGGTAAATGCTGTTTCTTGAAATGCATCTGCTTTTACACAATGATGTGCATTTGATAGAACTGACAGAGTTAAAAAATGGATGCACTTCTTGTCCACAGAGCCTTTTCCAAACCATATCTGAAATAGTAATGAATGTGTTGCTCCAATAATATTGACTCAATCAGATTGTATGTTAAAACATTTCCAGACATATTGATAAATTCATTGATTCTTCCCATTCTTTTGGTCACTGGACTATAGAAAAAGGGATCACTAGCCATTTGACCTCCATTGTGTATTAAATAAACACCAGATGGTAAGGATTCATTCAGTAAATCTATTCTTTCTTCTTCATAGTCATGTTCACACTGTTGCTTCCCACTGAGTCTTTATCTTTATTTGTCATGGTGCCAAAGCTGTCTCTATAGCACCTTTCATGCATCACAGCTTTCAAATCTTGTCCCATTAGTTTCATTTTGTTTCTATCATAAATAATCTACTACTTTCTCATACACTCTTTCATTACCTAATAATGCTCAGTCTTTGTACAAAAGGGTAAGTATTTAAAGGTTAGTGAGTACAGTTTACCCATTAGTATATAGTCTGTGTGACACTTCATTAGAGAAAAATGTAAGCTACAGGTAATAATTATGCATTCTATGAAACATTCATACTTTCAATAACTAGGGGTATTATTTTTGTTGTTGTTATTTTGAATGACCCTTTTTAAACATATTACTGTCTAGGAGTTGATGACATGAAATTTCAGTTACAAAGAGTTGGGTGCCTGGAATTTTATAATTTTAAATATCTTTCCACATCTGGGAGGCTATAGACTTAAGGAAGATTTAAAATATCATAGTCAAGAATTTATATGGATCCGGATTTATATTTTTAAATGAACTATAGTTGAAAATCAAAATTTGATTCTGAATCACTATTAGTTCAAATAGGTGGGGGTAAAACCCCATAGCAATATAATTCAATCTTCTACATAGAAGTGTAGCATCTACCTCTGTAAAAAGAGATGCTCACCATTTTTTAATCCTTAACTATTTTCAAGACTAATAAGAGATCATTCTGACTTGTCACATCAGATATGTTGCTGATTGAAAAAATACCCTATACAAATCTCTAATAGATAATATTTAGTATTGAAATTATATTTCTAGAAAAAGAGAATGCAAACAAAATTTGGTGGCCATCTAAAGTAAAGCAGCATTATCTTTTTATACAAAGCATGGCATTTGAAATAGTCTTGCATTTAAATTTACAAAATTTACCACCCTTTTAGGGGTTGGGGGATTTTTGTACATTGTTTATTGGCAGGTTTTGTTTTTATTTTTATTTTTACGTCTGTCTTTTAAATTTAGATGGTGCAGTGCAGGTACACTGGAGAGAACTTATAAGGAAAACCTTCTGACTCAGTGGCTTTCTCATAACAGTCAACAAAAGAGACTGTTTTAATATTCCTGAGCACAAAGAAACAGTAATGCTTCAAAAAGTTTTGATGATTCTTGGATCTCAGAGTGTATTCTGTCAATCTGCAGGTAGCACATCATTTTCCATGTACATAGTAAGGACAATAAATATTCCCCTGTCCCACTACTAACATCTTTTTGCATTAGGAAGCTGAGTCTTACATGAAAGTTTGTTCTCTACAACTGAAAGAGAAAAACAATTTTTGAATTCAGAAAAGAGAGGATTGTTTGTTGGGGTTTGTTTTTATTGCCTACCTGCCTATTCTTATCTTTCCCTTTGTACTCCAGGAGTGTGAGGACATTCTTAGGAAGAAGGACAAATGGCCAGACTCTACAGATTATGCCTTCCTTGCTGCACAAGGCAATTATGTTCAAAATGCAAATTAAGTTCAAAATGCATTTTCTAATCATCACTTATTTCTCTATTGTTTTTAGGAATATTTTCTGGATTAATCCAAAGTAAAAACCACTTGTTTTGTGTGTGCTGTTGAAAATCTGACTAGAGAAGCCCCTTGGTTTTGTACTTTTCCCTGGCTTCAACACAGAACTAGCAATGCATCATTTATTGTATCCTCTGTGATGATTGCTAGTTCTAATTTGTTTAGTCCTAGGAGCACTTTAGTGATTTTACTTACATTTTATTTTCAAATTTCTAGAAAATGACCGATTTATACTATGGACTGTTTCTTCTGGATGACATTTAAGTTAAACACCTGACTCAAATGCAACACAAAATTCATATTTCAAGTTACCTTCTTGTAGTTACAACAACTGGAAATAGTATTACTTGGTCAAGGTTATTTTGTCTTCCTAGGCTTCAAAGCAAAAATATTTGGTGGAGGAGGAATGATGTCACTTTAAACCTGATATTTAGCTCTAAAAACTGAAAAAGGCAGTGTAACCCCCTCATGCATAAATATATCACCTTAAGTTTATATTTCACTACTTTTTAAAAGTACTGAAGAATATGCCACAATATGTCTTGTTCTAGCAGCTGAAAAATTATGCTATGACTAAAATGACATCATTCTGCCTCCCACAGAATGTTTTGGCTCTGAGAGCTCAAGGAGCAGATGAAATTAACATAAAATGTCACTGTCACACAGAGAGGAAGAAAAAATATTAACATCTTCTGTATTTCTCTCAGAGATCTGAGTAGGAGGTCACCTTATAGCATGTCACAAGTATTTGAGAATGAAAAAGACCTTTTTGCTCAGGGTCAGTATAACAAGTATTGTTGAAATTTTCCAAATAAGGTTTATCATAAATCAAAACTGCCTGTAGGATTTCTGTTTCTTCCACTAGGAGTTGCTCCAAAGGACTCTTTCATTTATCTTTATATTAAGGTTTGCTATTTTGTAAAGTGTTCCTAGTTTAGAATAACTGGTGGAACTCTAAATCAAGATAATGAGCTTAGTTCTCACAATCCTTTCTTATTATTATTTGTAAAATTTTATCTCTGAATCTTATAGAAAAATTATTCTCCTGCTGCAGTAAGCTGTTCTGTGCTCTAATAGCAAGACATTCTCTCATAAAGAGTTTAAAATCCAGATATCTAAAATGGACGTGGTGGGCTGGAAGGAAAGCCAGGCAGCAACCAGAGGGGTGACAGAGCAAAGTAGCAAATTGAACAAAGCTTACCAAAAAAAGATTGAGGTCTCACCTCACAGTATTTAATCAGTGTGAAAAAGAAATGTTTCTGTGGATATCACAGTAGACTTGTGACTTAAGAGTCAATGCCCCTTTTCTTTCAAATTTTAACAGAATTTCCTATGAATAAAATTGATGTGCAAATTTTTATGCAAATGTTGAGGCTGTTTAGCATCAAGTAAAGGGTAGTCTAGGTGTTGAGCAAACTTAGTAAGCAGGAAGGTTTAATGTGGAAATCAAAAGGTCTGTTTTGATCATGCTAATTTAAAGTGGCAGCTACATATTTGTGAGAGATCAGAAAGGTAGGTCACAGTGCTGGATGTGGGTAGGTGTTTAGTCAACAGCTAGGATTGTGAGATCCTGACATAAGGACCGAGGTGCAGGGAGTACAAAACTGCTGATCAAGGGCAGTGTAGTAGGAGAAATATACTGAAAGGGGGGGACTGGAATGAGAGGAGGCATCAAAGAATTTTTCTGAAGGGATGATGAGAAATAAGAAGACAATATCCAGTGAAGGAAAGCAGCAATAGGAAAAGATTTTAATATCTTTTAAAATAACACAGTACTTTAATATAAAACAGAACTTCTGTGCAGTATCCAGAAAAGAAATCCTCACAGATCCATACATATGGCAATAACCAAGGAATTCTTGACAATATGGTTCTTACTGTAGTTTGCTTGTCTGTGTAACACTGGAAGAAACAGTATTAGCCACTTGGTTCAGTATAATATTGACTTGATTTGGTTTTCTTGAGTTTTTTACCTGCTGTTTATAGAGAATTAGAGTCATTAATAAAATAAAAAATTAAAAATATGTATTCTCCTATTTAATTTACATTACTGATAAATATTGTAGGAAAACTGAAAACACAACACAAATAGCATATTTTAAATTTTTTAAATAATCTTCTCTAGCCTAAAATTAAAATTTGCTAGAAAATGTCATATTTTCCTTCTTTGATGCAACTTAATTCTTCTTTGATTGTGCTCATTGGGGAATGAGATAAATATTTCCATTATAACTTCTAAGGTTTTTTTTCCCCTGCTGCTGCTAAGGATAGTTAGTCTTTTTTATGGAACTAAATAACTGAAACTATGGTGGTGTCCAAAGATATGTACATTGTATTGCATATGTATAGAAAAGTTTCATTACTTATTTAAGGTCTTCTGAAACTAGGCAGAAAAGGAGGAGAACCAGAGGTAGATTTAAAGTTCCCCCTCACCCCACCCCACACACAACCTCCAGTATATGAAGTAATTACAGTAAAGGTTCAAGGGTTTGCATAGGTCATCCGAGTGAGCAAATTCAATAGCATGAAAACAGTGTTTTAACCTTCCCAAAAGGATTTTCTTGGCAGCAATATTATGGCTAATAATAAAGGATGAATAAAATATAGATAAAAGGTGTCACTGAGAAGAGCGGCATGATTTATTCAGGTATGCATAATGTATAGGGAGTTTCAGACACTTGCTGAGGGTTAAGTACATGGTAAGAAAGCTGAAATCTTGTGGGTGGAAGCCAGAGTTTGAGTACCAAGAATTTGATGGAAATCACAGTTACACTGAGAACTCTATGACAAAACCAATGAAGACAGAACAAAGAGAGAATGGAGAGAAACTAAGTTTTGCAAGAGGAAGTTGACCCAGCAACTGATTCCTAAAATTGCTCATTAAAGAGTTTTAATGTATTCTCTAATTCGTTAGGAATTCCGTAATTCTTTAGTAGCGTAAGAAAGAGGTGACTTGTGAAATGTGACTTCAGCTGAGAAAATACTAACAATCTTCCCTGCTGTTTATCTATAGCAAGAGTTCTATCAAGATCTCTGCAAGCCCAGGGCATTGAGAAGTTGCTGAAGAACATTCATCTCAACTTGAGCCTGAAGATCTTCTAAGCTGCAATAGCTTTTGGCATAGATAGAGAGGTATGAAGATAGCACTATTATTCACAAATTATTATGGTAATACCCTAGGTTAGGTTGAAATTTTGTTGCTGAGTATGCAGTTTAAAAGCAATATGATGATGACTTCCAACATTAATTATGATGTTTGTCATCTACTGAGTATTTAAAGCTGTTCTTTTGCTGAAAAGAGCATCTGTTTGACACAGTTAAATTATTGGGCTGTCCTCACTGCCTGAAGGTGATGATGTTTAACTAAGAGGCAAGGAGCACCCTATGCCCAGAAGTTCCCTGCTTGAATTTCAGCTCTCATTATCACATGAGTGAGTCGTGTAGCAACAATACAGTCTGTCAGCTCATGCCACAGGTAATCTCTCAGGAGCAGACATTTTTTTTATTTCCAGTTTTGCACTTAGTACGATGAAATATTTTCACTAGGAGAAAATTGCGAAGCAAATATGGACAATATATAGACTTTCTGAGATCACTTACAGATAGTGTTCAATACATTTTGGCTGTCAGCAAATGAGAAGGATGGAGCATTCTCCAGAGCAAAGCACTACAGCGAAAACTTAGTATGGATGTCGGTCTTTGAAATGTCAGTTCCTCTGACACACGCGTGTAATGAATTTTCTGAAAACTGACAAAAAGTAGTAGGAAAGTGTATTCTTAGCTGTAGAAGAGGAAAATTTGTCTTTAAAAATTGGGCAAATCTTAATTTCCATATCCATTATTAACCTTCTCCAACATGATTCATATTCAAAAATATGCATACATTATTAAGGCATGCACAGTTGGCCAGACCCTGAGTTCCTTCATGCAAATATTTCATTAATTTTTAATCATCTAAAGAAGAGGGAATCTTTTTTTGTTTGTGAGGGATTAGAATCTGATCTTGTTTTATTTAGTACTAACAGTAATATTCAGTATCTTGATCTTCTAGTGAAGTTTTTTATTACATTCCAAATTGAAATGTTTTAAACTTTTGCTAACTGTTATCGTCATTCTGATATACAAAATAATTGAACTCAGACCCACATTGTGAGATTGAGGGAGCTTAATCCTGCCAGTTTCGAATGCCAGTCAAGGACCAAGTTAGGCATTGCTTTGCAGCAAACAGCAAGTTTCTGTTAAGGAATTCAACCGAATTTTCAGTCTGGGCCCACATTTATCTTTGAATATTGTAAATGAGGTGGATACTCATGCACACAGATTTACAATCTGTATTGCCAGCATTTGAGGTAAAACAGTTCCACATAATCTTTATGCATAGGTGTTAGCTTTTATAATTACAGCTGCATTCAGAATGTAATAAACTTAAGCGTTATTCAGATGTTTGTGTGTTTTACGTATTCTGTGATATAGGCCTACATTCTAAGTGTTAATAACCCTTTTACATGGTTTGCCTCACAGACACATTTGTCTTAGTATGCTAAACTTGAAAGAACAGTGTTAAGAAAGCCTTTCTTTTCAGTTCCTGATTGCAATTGCGAGCATATCAAATTTATTCCCTTGTAATCGAGATCATTTTCCAGAAGCTTTGAGAACTGTATGTGGCAGTTTGTTAGAGAGCTCACAGAAACCCTATACTGACAGACCAAAAAGCCATTCGACTGTCACTTTATGTCATTAACAATTTCTAAACCCATTACAGATGGGATGGACTGATTAGAACTGAGGAGGGAGGATCTCTTTCCCAGCCAGAAATATCCCCTGAGACTTCTCCTGCATGTGAAGTTTCTAATGATTGATGGGAAAAAAATACAACTGCCTGCCCCATAGTTGCCACAGACTTTATTTAGGAGAAAGACTATTCATATTTGGTGATCTGCTTGCACTGGATGTCTTTAGAAAGTAAATATTATCTGGATATTTTTTTTTTTAAAGCTAGTGAAATAAAAAGCAAGCTCTACATTCTAATTACTCAGTTTGTTCCGCACATTTCAATATTCACTTTTTATAGCTTCCCTGTCATTTGTATAAATGGTGCTAAAAGACTAAGTTGTTTATCTTCTGCCCCCCACACCTCCCTTCCACTCTGATGTTTTATTTCTGTAAATGAGAGCTACAGCTGGAATATTGTTTTACTACAAATCTCACACCAGCACTGTCGGTTGTGAGGTGACACCAGAGATTCTTATCTGTAGTCTGGGTTAGAAATATTAAACATTCTCACATTGTGCAGAGTGTTGAGGATGAACATCAGTGCAGTGAGGTGCATCCAACACTTCTGTGCTTCCCACCTGATTCTTGAAATATGGCTCCTTTAAAAGGATAATATTTGCTTTAAATAGAAATGAAAATATTCAAGCACTAACATGTACTGGAAATATTACTGAACTTTGTGTTCCCCTAAGTTCTTTTCTGAAGAGAAAATTTAAGGGGCGAGAAAGAATGAGAGTTATTCAAATTAAAGGAAGGAAAATGTGTTATTCCTGCCAAAAGTATCTGCAGCACTTTTAGGAGAGGAGAATTTCTAGTTAACCCAAGTGATTAGTTTTCTTTGAGCTGACATAACATTTTACCACCTTTAAAAATAACAAACTAAAGAGGAAGGAAAAAAAAATACATTTCTGAATGGCTGATTTTATTGTTTTATCTGATTTTTGCACTTCTTATAAAAATTATTACAATGAAAAGACTAAATGGATTCAAGACCAGCCTCACCACTTTATGAATAAATCTGCACTGTTTTTATGGAAACGTCAGCATGATGTGTACAAAGGGAGTGAAAGTAAACTAATGCTTGTGCTAGAGTTACATACATACAATGTATGAGCTGAAGTTGGCTCACTGCTCTAATTCTACTGAGTAATGGTACAGCACACTGCATGAATCAGATCTCACAGGCAAAAGGTCCAAACTAATGCAACTGTCATGGACACGGAAGTCTGACAAATCACCTACGTGATCTGCAAATGCCTGACATAGATGAGATTGTTTATTTCATTGCGTGCTAAAATAAGGGGGTTCAGAAAAGGGCTAGAGGGGGAAAAGAGACATAGGAATCATTCCAGAAAGACTTATGATACTTATGATACTGCTAAGGAGTGGCTGCCTTAAAGTGGAGGGTAAGAGGAGTCTGGTTGGGATGTGTAATTTTATTGCTGCAAAAACAGTCAATGAAATAAAAGTATGCTATAATGTTTCCTTCTTTTTTTTTGGTGGGCTTTTGCTTCTGATTTTTTTTTTCATTCACTATTTACATGGTTTACAAGAAACTGAAAATGGAACTACTGAACTACTGTACCGTGTCCCTCCTGTTACACACGTTCTAGCATTGGCACCTCACCCAAAATATCCAAATAGAAACACAGGGTCTTAAAAGTTGAATCAGCTGAGAACTGCTAGGAATACAAAGAAAATAATTCTAATGCTATGCCCAGCAAGAGAAGTCTTCTATCAGGATTTTTTCCTGATATATGAGATACAATGATATATGAGATACAATGATATATATGTAAGTATATGTAATGACTGAAGTTTTGAAGGCTGTGGCAGTGAGGAAAGTAAAGACCTAATAAGTAACTAGTTTTGATCAATTAAATTCAAACAGTACTTTCACCAAAAGGAAAAAAAATATTCTAAATTGCAAATTGTAATGAAGATTATAAGTCTACACAAAAATTATTTGTTCTAAGTTATGTAGCAAACTAATTTTGAGGAGAAACACAATACAATTTAAAGTTTACATTCTCTGGTTTCCAAGACAAGTCTTGTAAAAAGTCAGTCATGTGTTAGTTTTGGGCATATGTTTTTTGGGTTTTTTCCTGGGTTTTTTTTTAATGGCTATGGGAAATGTTCAGGTTTGAAGTGTTGGTCAGTCATGACCAAGTTTAAGTCAGTGCATGGAGCAGGCACTGAAAACCATGGAAATTAAATTTTGCAGACAATAGAATTCACATTCGATGTTCTTGATGATGTAAATCTGAGCTTGGCAAATGCAGATGCTTGTCCATGAAAAAACATTGCCCTCCTTTAGTGACTTCATCATCCCCTGAGCTTTACCATTCTGTATCACAAATCTCATTGTGATTAACGTTCCTGGGTGGGTGGAAGGGTTCAATTTGTACTTCACACTAGCATCAATACTGCTGTTTGAACATGCTTTTGTCAGCTTAATAGTTTTGTTTTCATAAACAGTTGGTGCCATAATACTACAATTGGTCCTGCTGAATTTGTCCATGTATACTGGGAATTCTTCAAGTATACTGAGCAGTGAAGCAAAGGAAAGCTGCAATAATAGATAAATCTTTTCTAACCTTAGGAAAAGTAATGTCTGAAAAATAATTTTTAAAATTACTATACAGTCAATTTCTGTCTTCTAATTTAACTTCAGAAATATACCTTTCAAAGAGGTATTTATTGTATGTACTCATTAATGTATATAGAAGAGCTATCAAAGACAACAAAGGGAGTATATATGGTAAGTTAGTCTTTTGATATTGTCACAAATCCATCCATGCCTGTTGTTCTGTTACAAACATGTGAGAATGGTTCAAGAAAAATGGTTGAAACTTATAAATTAAAGGTTCCTCAATATTGCATCTGGCTTTAACATCTAATTAACATTTTAAAGGCTATAGTTTAATTTAAATGAATGGCAGGCCTTTGACTGCACAAGACAGCTCATGAACATGATTACAACAAAGTAATTTCCTTTTGTCAGATACAGACTTTCAGTAATAGTGTTCTCTTAGCTTAATAAAGTTAAGCACCACTTACAATCGGCACTTCATTTTGCTTCTTTCTATTATATAGAATGGTGGTTGTTCAGTTCTTATAGCAGCCATCTGCGTAGGTGTTCATTTGTACTCTCCTGCTGTGTGGGTACTCTGTCTAATTCCCAAGCTTCTAGCTTTATAATAGTTTCACAAAATGCTGTTTGAATTTTTATAAGCCAGTTTTCATTATCATTAGTTGAATGTTCCAAAGCTTTATACTGCCCAATATGGTTCTATTTTGACTCATGTTTGTATGCATTGATAATGCCTCTGTGCTGTAATTTTAGTGTTACAATATCCACTGGAAAAACTTGTTGTATAAGAAAGTTGAAAGTTATAATAAATTATAAGGCTGTAATTTATTCTATAATCTTCCTTTTCCCCTCCAAATTAAAAAAAAAAAAAAAAATTACAGATATATTTCAAAATCATTATATAATTTTCATTTAAATGTTTGAATCCTTTTCAAAGCAGTTGCAAAATTTGTGGAAGTTAAAGATATCCTAATGGGTAATGCATAATCTAATACATTGAAACATTCTGACACTGCCTTGTCACTGTCTAAGACCCCTTGTTGCTGTGAGTTCCTGTAGTTCAGCCTCAGACAAAAGAGAAGGATGTGACGGAATGGTATTCTGTCATTTTTTTCTGTATTACTTTGCCCTCCTCTCTCAAGTGAATTCAGCCATTATTACCCCTTTGCTTAGAGCCTGTTAGAGCACTCCACAATAGAAGGTCCCCCTTGTGTTCCTCAAACATGTCGTGTTCCCTTGGAGAGACATATTTGGAAGAGCAATTAGGCATTGTTGCTTGCAGAAGAAAGCAAGACATCTAATAGTATTCTATACTTACTTGAGGCCCTCCTTCTCAGGATCCCAGAACGTTTTAGAACTATTCATTAAATTTATAACCTAACAGAAGCATGTACTTTCCACATGTACATTATAGTTATGGTGTGGATGATTAAACAGAGTCCTGCAAGGAAAAATCAAAGTTATATGTTACGTGAATTTTCTTCATAAAAAACACAAGTAAGTGGCAGAAATTGAGAGCAGTTATCATGGTTCTTGATATTTTTCTGTAGTTTAAAATTCAGGCATTTGGAAGAAAGACTCATGTTTTGCCTTACTTATTCACTGTTGAGGGAAGAGTTGGTTTAAAATGTATTACTGCTCACTATAGCCTTTTAAAGCTTCTACTTGAAATACATACAAAATCAAGAAAAATCAGAATTAAATCACTCTTTTCCATTGTGGCTATAGAATAGTAATCTAACAGTTTAGTTTTCCCACCCTATATTAATGGACTGATTGAAAAATAAGTCATTTCTAAACTAAGGTAAAAAAATGCCATCATAAGCATTCAGGAATATGTCTTATTTAGATTTTTTTGTAATTTAAACTATTGATTAAATATTAGCATATTTAATTTAAGTAATTGTAATTTATTAAATAATTGTAATTTAAGTAATTTAAAAGCTGAATATTTTTCTAGTCTAAAGTTTGAAACAAAAACATGGGCAGCTTAAAATTATTTTTTGAATTTACTGAGAATTATACAGTAAGTTCCTAAGCAGTTGTCAGAAATATTTTGAAACAATAATCTAAATTCTTAAATGTCTTGTCATTTGACCATCGTATCTCAGGCAAAAATTTCCTATTTTGCAGTGCAAAAAACTTGCACTTCCAGTGGATTCACAGTAACTCTGCAGAACTCAAGGTGGTATTGCTAAGAGCACAGAATAATTTCCTTTGTTGGATGGGAAGACTACATAAGGCTGCAAAATCTTTTGGAGCTGGAGGCTGAGTTTTCTTCATGAATGCCACAACTTTGCTGAGGAATTATTTTATCAACCATTAGGTACTGTGCATCTGAAAAAAAAGTTGTGGAATCAGAAGGAATAAAGTTGTCTGGATGAATCTGGATGGGAAAAAGGCTTCGTCTCTGCTTACTAACTCATTCTGTGACCATAGCATAAATTCCCTTGAACAGGAATTCCGAAATGCTTTAATGCTGCAGATCAATTACTGCTAGAAAATGGTGCCTCATTTTTTTCACATTTTCAGAACATTAAAGTTGCCTTGCTTAAAATCCACGGTAGAAATTCCAATCCAATTAGGTCAAAGAGAGTTCTGTCACTGCCGTCAAAATTTCGCTTTATGTTCTTTATTTAAATATCTGAACATCAGGGAATCCTCAACTTTGCCTCTGGCAATGGGCACTATGTAGATTATTCTGAGGTAAGGGGCTCTGTTAAGACTGACTCTCCAGTGGCCTGTTTTTCATCAAGTGTGAAGGATTGTAAGTATTTCTGTAAGTGAGTGTAAGATTTTTTTTCTTTAGTTCTGGATTCAGTACATGCTCACTAATATAAAACACCCTGCATGAGCCTGAGCCTAATTAATTCAACGATCTGCAAACTCCATGGATCTTATCATGGCAACAGCAACAGACGATGCTTCTTAAATTTACATCCTCTAGAGTGCACTTAATAGGAGCAGAACAGTCACAGGGAAGAATACTCAGATAAGGAATTTGTTTCTACTAGTAATTGATTTGAGTATGTTTCTTTCCGTTTGCAGACAGCCGTGGTCAGAAAAAGAGTATTTTCTTACTGAGCTCTAGATTTGTCCTGAAATATGTACAAGACAATTATACAAATAAGAAGAGGCCCCAAGGAGGAGGAACTGTAGCTTTACTGCTGTTATGACTGGGGTTTTGCACAAGACAATTTATGTTAATAGCTTCAGGAAGAATGATGGGCACTTTGAAAATGCATGTGGAACTATGTATTACAGAAATCCAAATGCCTTGAGATACAGTGAAAAACCCAGGGGTCTTTGTGAGCTATTTTATGATTCAACTGAATTTTTATTTCAGTCCTTCTAATTAATTCTTAAGGCTTAGTTCATAATAAAAAAGCAAGATATGTTTTTTATTTATTTTTTCACTGTTATCTGAAAAGGACTAGGACTGCATCCAAATTTTAAAGAACCAATGAACCAAATATACTTTTTAATCTTAGAATCAACTCACAAAAAGTGCAGATGGCACCACCAATAAATGACTGTCATGGACCAAGATCTTTTCTATGCAAATGACTAATGCATCACTACAATTCTGTCAGAGCAACAGAAAGAGGCTGCCAAAAAAAAATCATATCATAATCAGTGAGTGTTCCTGATTGTTCACTGTTTGTAGCACATATGGATCCTCTAAAATACAGAACACCTACCTAAAAGAAATACTCAAATCATTATGCATCATGAACTTTTGCATGTGTTTAGAATGTTTTAAGGAAACTATTTGGTCTGCAATAAACAGACATATTTCCCCAGTGTCAATACAGCAATAGCTGTGTTAGAAAAAAGAAACAACAAAAAAACACACACACACACACACAAAAACCACACCAAAAAACAAACACACAACACATTACAATCTATGCTTTAATTTACAAAGCAATAACCACGACACAGTTGGAAACTGAGCTGTCTCAAGCTTTTCTCATTGACTCCTTGAAATGGATCTATACTATGAAAAGTAGGTACATAATAAACATAATAAACAACACAGGGAACAGGAAAGCAGAAGGGTTTAATAATTCTATCAATAAAACATTTTATTGTATTGATTGTAGAACATAGCTAACATCTGCTGTCCAGCATGAGAGATGGCCAGACACCAATGTCTTTACAATAATCAAAAATATATATTTTTGCATAAAACAGAAATGTTTAATAGAAACTCACAAGGTATCAAGAGACTGCATGTAGAGAAAACCAACTCAAAGGGAAATAAAGTCACAGAATCTTTGAAAGGTGATGAGAATGAAATAAGAGAAAATCTAGTTCTGTTGAAAACCACTGACAAATTTGGAAAAGGTTCAATGCAAAAATTGGATAAAATTAGATTATTTCTTGAACACTCCTTTAAAATGGAAATACATGCTTAAATCAATTTTTTTTATGAGGCCCTGGAGCACGGTGAGAAGAGCTTGACATTGCTCCTTTCAAACTGGCACAGTTGCAAAATAGGTGGATTTGAATGGGGAATGAGCTTAGAGACTCTCAACATTAAAACTCTATAGCAAAGATTATACTGCAGAAAAAAAATTCAGGCAAAAAACCAGAGCTGCTTGCTTTTACAAGGCTACAGGTCTTATGAAGAAGGCATCTACAGCTGGAAGAATTCTCATACCTCAATAGTTCAAATAAGTTCACTGTACATTAGGTGTCCTCTTGTAATAAAGAGCATTGCCCTCTTAATTGTGGTATAATTTGAGTCATCTGAAGATATCTGTCATTAAGGACTTTTTAGTCAGCCAGGCCTTTGAAGTGGAAGAAATTTTAAAGCTAGATTAGACTCCTACCATCATTTTGTCTGATATAACCTACTTAGCTCATAGCAAACTCTTAGAAAAATCATCCCAACTTTCTTAAAAGATTTGAAATTATAAAGAGGTTATTTATTCCAGTCCTGTTGTCATGGTCAGTGTGTAGTTTATATTTAGTTTTAATATGTCTAGTTTTTCATTTTTCTGAAATGAGCTTTCATATACTGAGTTGTGCTGGACTTTGTTTTGTTAGAGTAAAATATCAGCTATATTTTTTCACTTTATATATTTCTACAGTCTTAAAAAATATGATTTTAATCTGATTTAAAATAAAAACAGATATAGCAACTCACATCCTGATGGAGAATGCTTCTGCAGCTCAACCTGTTCTGCTGCTTGAATTTTTGTCTTCAATAAATTTATAAAAAAATGAATTCCTGCAAATAGTGTTCTATTCATGCCTTAACTATTGGCATGTAATTAAATTGTCTTTGCATTCATCTCACCTGATGTTACTCAATATAATGGTATGTATCTATTCTGAGCTGGTCAGTGTTCCCTTGACAGATAAAGGAGAAGGAAAAGCAGTCTTACAATGTTATTCATACTATTTTAAGAAGGATGATTCACCCTCTGGAATATTTGTATCTCTCTTAACTATACAGGAACCCAGACTACTGGTTCAAAATCTACCTTTCAGGCAGCTGCAGTAGTTGAAAAGATTCCCAAGTACATGGTGAGTTATTTCCATTTCTTCACATGAGACTTGAATTGACAAATAAATCATACAGATATAAGAGATGGGGAAAGGCCCATTTTGAGACTTCAGTTTTTAACCACTTTGCAAGTTTGGGACCTAAGCAATTGTGCATACTCCAAGTAACCTGTGTTTAGGAAGCTGGGGCACTTTACTCAAGAACATAAATGCATTTTTGAATTTTGTGAGCCTATTTCTTCCAGGAGATATGCAAAATAATTGTTCAAAGCCTTCATAATATAGATTTATCTATTAATCTTTTCATAGCTTTGTTTGACACCAGGAAAACAGAGTCATATTTCTGTTGTTTCTTCCATTTCCTGTAAAGCTGTATTGTTTCACTTTCTATATAATCTGTTTTGACCTAGGGCCATGTCTCTGTTCTGTTTCTGCGGCTCCTGAAGTTTCTGGTCTGTAGACAACTTTACCATGCAAATCATTCCTGTCTAAATTCTTTGCCTTTTCTCACTTTGACATTCACTTTTTTTGCATCATCTAGTGCAAAATAACTATGATTTTTTTTTTTTTTTTATCGAAGCGACCTGCTTACTCAAATTTTTTAGTAATGTTCCTCTTTATATGCATGTGTGTGGGTGCATGTTTCTTTCTGTGATTATAATTGTTCGGGTGCATTAATATCAGCATCTTAGAGGAGCAGAACAACAATCAAAAGTTCTGCTCTGGACATGCCTCACACTGGAACAGTTGCATAAGCCAGTTCCTCTTTCACCATATTTCACTGGTAGACCTGCACCTGTGCATTGTCACTTTCTACTCATCAATCAGAAACCTTCCTTGTAGAATAGACTTTGTAGAATTTTTTTTGGACTTTATGGAAATGAGAAAAGCAAATTTTGCTTTGAGTCCTGGCAACCAGGTTTAATTGTCAAAGTTCTCAAGTAAGCAAGGGTGAGATCAGAGTGGATCTGTAAGCTTTCAGGGCATTGTGATAGACAAAAAAAAAGTAAACCCAAAATATTTCTAGCATAACCAATGCTGAATGCTTTAATTTCTTAAAAATTAATCTGGAAAGATTCCCAGATCATACATCTGTCATGCTAATTTACAGAGGCTGAGGTCTGAGAGAGAAGCACTGAAGAAAATGATTGTTTCTCTTTAGCAGTACCACCTCCCACCCTAGTCCCCTCCTCCCCTTTTCCCCCCAACAAGTTTCCTGGTTACCTGGCAAGTTTAAGCATGAATATCTGTATTCTAGATAGAATTTACTGTATGCTGAGAGGTGCTATCGTCTGTCCACCTGTCCAGAATTTTTGTTATGCATTGTCTAACATCTCATGGGCTAATATTTGTAGTTAGAATCTGTGGTAAAGAAGGAACAGGAGGCAATATATTTAATCCACACTACAACCTTGGTAATGCCTTTTAATGTATCTGCTATAGTTTGGGGCTTTTTTCTTCCATTTAAAATGCAGTTGTGGTGCTGTACATGACAAGTCAAACTCAGTCGTCTTGAAATCACCATGATTCAGCTCTGATCTCATTTTCACAGGTTCTATGTCAAATATGAGCTGTTCTTGATTGCCTCCAGTTTCTGTAGCCAGAATCAGACATGTAGTTTTAGATATATAAAGATCCTTTTTGTCCACAGAAGCTACGGGAAAGTTTGTTTTTTTCCTTTCACCAATAGTCAATCTGGTTTGTGACAATTTAGTATAAAAAGACTTACTCATTTTTCAGTTTGCAGATAGTTTTGTTTTTAAACACAAATTTATATTTAGGAAAGAGGTGATAGTTATTGAGATGTAATAAATGTCACAATGTTACAAAAATATTCTAACTTCTACTACACACTATACTAATGTTTCATCCTAACACCAAATTAATTGCACTGCACTGATGGACACGTAAATCGGATTTTTGTGTCGTGTTGTCAGTCTAGTTCCTCAGTTACAAAAATAACTAAAATGAGGATGTGTGAGAAGTTTAGAGGTTCAATAGTCAATTTAATCTTCTAATTTTAATCATCCATAATCCAGTTCTTAAGAAGGCTTAAACTGCTAAGACCAATTCTTCTTCTTCTTCTTGTATTATTACATATTCTTATAATATTATGATAACACAAGTTGCAAAACTAATGTGAACCAAAGAGCTTTCCTTTTAAAACAGTGAGATGTGTTAGAGCTTCAGATCTGACCAATTTACTAAGCTTTGTGGTATTATCTGGGTAATGCTAGAACAGAAGGATATTTTTTTTCAATTTAATTAAGTCCCTTAGAAAACTACACTCTCTGTTTTTATCAGGCATCTTTAGACAAATCTGAAGACAAATCCAGTTCTGATGTCTCTGGCTCAAGAACTGCAGCTTTAAAGGGGGCAAGTTGGCCTCTGTAGAATGATTTGATAAAACCAAATTATTTTCAAGTGTCTATGCTTCCTATATAAGCAATATGTATATATCTATAAATACATATATAAACCCCACACACTGAGTGCTGCCAACAGTCACTATGAATGAAATGCAGTGAGAACAAGCAAAGAAAACTTGGTTACTGTCTTATGCTTAACCATTTTGTTACACTACCCCTTTTTTTTTCTATTTTCACAGATGTACCATTTCCCTTTCATGATGAATTCCCTTTAATCATGCACATTAAAAGAATATAAGAATATAGAAATTTAATTCCTTAGCTGTATTCCTGAAATTCCAGTTAAATCTCATGCAGTAAAGGAATTTGTATTTCAGAGATGCTGCAAATCCAGCCATGAACTTCCTTTGTACCTGCAGCTCCATTTTATAAATTGCAGCCTAACACCAAATTTAATATCAATGACCTTGTTACTTACGCATCTGCTTTGAGAGATTTAAACCTGGTACATACTCGATTGGATTCACATAAATCTCGATACCCTTTAACCAAGTGGTTGTAAACCTGACTAGAGAGATGGAGTGCCTGAGCTTAGTTCCTCCCAATTTATGGTCAGTCCTTCTGTTTTGAAAAGCTGACACCTTATTAAGTGCAATTAGATGAGAGTTGACATCAGTAAGGGAATTTACATTTGTATCAAAAGATTCTGAGTAGTCACTGGATAGAGAGCCATTTTAAATGGCATTTCAACATGGTCAACATTTTAACTTACCTTTTATTTCCTAAGAATTTCTGTCTGTAAAATAGAAGCATGCTGAAGTTTTGGGTATGTACTTTAGCAGTTCTAAATGTTGAGAAAATCCTAGCATTATTGATCAGCTGGCATTATAAAAGACACAATCAAATAGAACCATTGCAGTTTTCATGTTGCTTTGTGAGTATTTTAATAAAGCATATGGCCACAGAAAAAACATACATGAATAAAAATACAAAAGACCCAAGTTTTCCTTACCAATAGAACGAATGAATGTATGTTTGCAACATTCTGCTTTGTATGTAACTTTACTTGGCAACAGAGGTAATATTTATAGTAAAGTCTATCACCGCTTATTAATGTTATACATTAGAGTATTTTGCTGCTTCAAAAAATGAGATGTTAAAATATGCTGAAACTTTCTAAAATAAAACAAGAAAAATGATACAAGAATTTATTAATAGTGTTTCACTGTTTAAAGGTTAAAGGATGATAAACCATTGAACGAAACAATGTAAATATATTGATTTCATCTATCCTAATTGTCATAAGCCTTTATAAAGCCTTTAATGAAGCCTCGTGGGAACAATTTCTCACTTTGTTTATTTTAAAATTGCTAAAAATAATTTCCAACCTATGTTTTCTACATAATTTATATAAAAGCAGAGGACTAAGCAACTCATTTGTGATGTACATATTTTTGCATTCCTGAGTATGAAATACCCTTCTTATTATGAAATTTCTATTTGATGCTTTTAAAAAATGTTTAGCGATATAATGTGGCCTGCTTTTAACTGTATAGTGGGAATTTTTTTCTGAATATTATATATTATATTTCAAACCTTGAACCTACAATTTAGTTCTGCTTGAAGTGGATACACTAAATAAGTAATTGTATAGACTAAAAATTTATTAAAATGAGAAGTTTTAAAACAGTTGAATATATTTTCTCATGATCAAACATGGAATTTAAATGTAGAAAAGTTTTACATAAGCAGAGAATTTCATAGGAAAAATTTTAAGGTCAGTTCTGAGAAGTCTTCTATAAAAGTTGAAGCAATTATATTTCAAGAAGTTTTTCTTCTTATTTTTTCAGTAAAAAATTAAAAGTTTCTCTGACATTAGCAACATACAAAGTGTATAATGGGTATTTCTATTGGACAACAACTGTCAAGTTCAGATATGCAAAATAAGGAATGTTGCAGAGGAGGTCAAATCCTTTAGTCCATCACTTTCACTTGAAGTTCTATTTGTATTCTATATGGAATCGATTAATGTTTGGCAGGGAATATCCAGCCTTACAAATCATCAGGATTTTCTTTCTCTTTGACAAGCTTTCCAATGCTCTATTTTCCCCAAGCCATTCAGGTCATGTGTGAAGACAAAAGTTTATCTTTTGATGAAAGGCATGAAGGTTCCTGCTGCTGGAGTAGAGGTGGCAAAAGCAAAAGAACAGTTAAGCCACTTTGGAGAAGTTGCTTGGACTGACTGGTGTATGAGAGATGTTATGCAAAGATCTTAAATTTTAAAATGCCATCGTTTTGCCCTGCCTTGGAGAGCAGCAACCTATAACCTTTATTGGAAAGCTTCATATTATTTCTTCATGTTTTGGATATTAAATTGGCCCATTTTTATTTCCTATTTTAAAAACCATCATTTTAAATTCTATTTTTGATATCAAATTCTGGTAGCAGCATGCACACCAATAGAAAAGATATCAAGATCCTAAGATACACATTCTGAGATTACAAGGACACCTGTATTAGGAACCCTATAAAGATGCAATTCTGCTTTGAAAAATAAGACCTTAGTAAACAATTTTGCTGATGAAGTGCAAGCTGGAATATAAATCAGCTTTTTTTTTTTTTTCTGTGACTACATGTTGCTTTTCACCACTG